CGCGCGCTATCTGTTTGGCGCAGGGTTTGAGGGAAGCATTGATGCAATCGAGTCCGAGTGCGTTGCGGCGGCGGCCGCGCGACTGCGAGGGTGCCCAGGGGCCCCGAGCGGCGGTGCAGCAGTGGTGATGGTGCCCCGAGCGGCGGCGCCGCGGATATCAGGATGTCTCGGGCGGCGGCGCCGCGGTTGCGAGGGTGCCCCGAGCGGCGGCGCCGCGGATGTGAGGATGTCTCGAGCGGCGGCGCCGCGGTTGCGAGGATCTCCCGGGCGGCGGTTCCGCAGCTGCGATGATGTTTCGAGCGGCGGCGCCGTTCCGCCTGAGGGGGGCGGCGATGCGATGGAGTCCGCGCGCGTTGCGGCGGCGGCCCCGCGGTTGCGAGGATGTCTCGGGAGACGGCGCAGCGGCTGCGAGGATGCCCCGAGCGGCGGCGCCGCGCGTGCGAGGGTGTCTCGAGCGGCGGCGCCGCGGATGTGAGGAGCCACCTACGTGGCGAAGAGGATGGTGCAGACCTACGGGCCCACCTTGAACTGTCCGAGTTGCTGGGGAGGCGAGGCGGCGCACTCGCGAGTGCAGGAAGCGCATGGGGGGGGTGCTCCTGGATGAGGCGAATCGGCAGGCAGCGGTTCGCCCGTTGCCAGGCGACGCCATCGCAGCCCCAGAGATGGAGGTGGATGCAGCAGCGGTCGACCCCGCAGCCGCGATGGCAGCGGCAGCAGGTAGCGCAGCAACAGCGGCGAGTTCATCCCAGCCACCTCCTGTGGAGGGCGGCTCAGCGGGAGACTCCGCGGGAATGGGCGTATATTCGAGGGGCCGACCAGCGGCTCCCACGGACAGCGAGCCACGGTCGAAGGCGCCCAGGGTGGCCAACCTCGTGGCGCCCGTGGACGTCAGTGAACCGGCCTACTTGGGGCTCGACGGCGAGGACTGCGAGCGGCTGCAGCTGTTCGCTGCGTCCGTGCGCGATCGGGGGACCCCGACAGCGTGGGCGCATGACCTCGTGCCAGAGGCGGTGGCGTGCGACGGCCGTTCGGGCGAGGTGCTACCGAGGGAGCTCGCCGTGCAGGGGCGCCAGCAGGAGCCCAACCAGATGGCCGCGTTCGGCGTGTATGAGGACGCGTCCGACGACGCGAGCGTAGGCAGGGGCATACTGACGGACTCCGATACAGGCCAGACGGGGCGCCCTTCGCACGGTCGAGACCCGCTGCCATGGACTTCAACCCCTCCGAGCGCGACAACGTAGCGGCAGGTGCGCCGTGCCTTTTCCTACTTGCGCTTGGTGGTGTCTATGGCTGCCTTGAATCCCCCATCGGGGCAGAGGCAAGTGGCTCTATGCGATGCCAGCGTGGCGTTCTTCCACGCGGACATGGACGAGCGGTTGCGCGTGATGCCACCGCCTGGGTTGGGACGACTTGGGCGGGTCTGGCAGCTCCGCAAGGCGCCCTGCGGCACAGCGCCTGCGTCAAGGTTGTGGCAGGCGTGCGTCGGCGACGTCTTCGAGAAGCGTCGGCCGCCATGGGTTCGGATCGCGCCGTGCCCTCGCGCCTTCTACAACGAGACGTTGGACATCGCGCTGGGCGTGCACGGCGACGAGTTCATGGCCGAGGGGGTCTCGGCGAAGCTTGACGTGCTCGACGTGTTGCTGGAGGAGCACATCGAGATCAAGAAGCTGGGTCGAGTGGGGCCGGGCGCCACCGGCGGTGGCCGCTGCAGGCTGCTCAAGCGACGCACGAGTGGCGGGGGGCTCCGTCTCCTCGCTTTGTGTGGAGAGCAGATGGCGCGCACGTGGACAACCTACTCGAGCTCTTGGACCTGCCAGCTGACGCGACGAAGCCTCAGACGAGCCCAGGCTCGAAGGCCGCGGGGGGCCCCGTGCCCCAGGAGGCGGTCGTCGAAGAGCGGCTTGAGTGGTTGGCGCCCAAGGCAGGCGGAGTGCTGATCTACCTGTCCCAGGACGTGCCGCAGGTGCAGTACGCAGCGAAGATGATCATGGCGGAGGCGCCGAGGCCTACGCTGCTCGCTGAGGTCAGGCTCAAACGTGGTGCACATGGCCTGGTGGGGTGCCAAGTGACGGAGTGGCACTACGCGTCGCAGGACCTCCCTGTCACGGCGGCAGGCGAGGGCGACAGCGACTGGGCAGGAGCGCATGGCGCGAAGTCTACTCAGTGCACGGTGATGATGTTCGGCGATCATTGCCTGGGGGTGACTACGTCGGCGCAGGGCTACGTAGCGACGTCGAGCGAGGTGGCAGAGCTCCTGGCTCTCAACAGGACGGGTGCCTCCGCTATCCTGTTGCAGCAGATCCTCGCTTGGCGCGGGGCCCACGCGCAGGGAGTTGCTGGTGCGGACAGCTCGGCAGCGGTCAGGCCGAGTACGGCATCTCCTTGTCCAGGACCCGTGGATACAGGGGCGTGTGCATACGAGGGATCTGAAGGTGATCAAGTTGGACACGGCGGTGAACCGAGCTGACAGCGGGACAAAGTACTTGGGCGGCTCGAGGATTGAAATCTTGCCGAAGCTCGTGGGGCTAGCAACAAGAGGGCGCGCGGCTGGCCATGCGAGCGACTCCACGGCGGCTATGCCGAAGGTCGTTTTGGCAACAGTGCATGTGCGTGGCGCGGCGGGGGGCACCGCAGCCACGGGGGAAGGCCAGTGTGACGGCAGCGCGGTTCGCGTTGTCATGCCGTTGCTTTTGTTCGTGCTGGCGCGCGTGATTGGAGCCGCGGTAGCGGTGTGCTACCTCGCCAAGAGGCGCTCGAGGGAGCGCCGGCTCGACACTGCGGGTGGTGAGGCGATGGAGGGCGCCGACGACGGGCGGGGCGACAGCGCTCAGGGCGGACGAGAGCGGGAAGCGCCTCTTCTAGCCACAGAGGGCGCGAGCGCTCAGGGCGGACCAGAGCGGGAAGCATCGTCTCCGGCCACGGAGGACGCGAACAAGGGATCGGCAGTGGGAGGCTCCGTGCCGATCAAGAGTGGGACCTCGGCAGCGACGAAAGGTCGCGTCGAGGATCGTGGGGTGCTGGTGCGAGGAGTTCCGCGGCGTTCCACTCAGTGGCGAGCAGATGGCCGTCAGAGACGAGCTGATGCGCTATTAGATGGACGAGCTGAAGGCGGCGCTGAGGGCGCCGGGCTGCAGCGCGACGGGCCTGAAGGCGAACCTTTCCAACGGGCTGGCGAGGGTGGCGGCGGTGCCATCCAGGGCCACGCGGGGCCCGCGGCTGACTGTCGACGAGCTGGTCGGGTCGGCTACGACGGCTGCGGGCGCGCCCGGCGGAAGGCGCCCAACGACCCGTGAGAGGCCGCTCCCAGCGGGGGGCTCCGCGAGGGGGCGCCGCGCCTCGCTCCGCAAAGACGCGGCGAGGAGGCGTGCCAGAGCTACGAACATAGTTCTAGGGTTGTTGGGGGGCGCTGTGGCCGTTCCTCTCGGCTCAAAAAGATTCGCGGCTCCGCGGGGGGTGCCGCGCAACCAGAAAAACTGATCGACGACTCATGGTCGTTCTTGCTCCAAGTTTGGCTTGCCGTGGCAGGTCGGCAACGAGATGTTGCTGAAATCTGTTATTGGGTCTGTCGAGGCCCTGCGCCACTTGGCCGCGCGCCGACGGACAAAAAAACGCATGTTTGTCCTTCCCCCCGCCTCTTCCAGAGTGTTCCGAAGACGTTTGGGCAGACTTTTCAGGGGTTCTTGTGGTCGTCTGGAGGACCTCGCCCCCATGGCGTCTTGAGGGTGCCATGAATGAGGGAGTGGCGGGGGGGGGGGTGGATGGGGGAGGAAAAGAATGGAAAGGGGGGGATTCAGGGAGGGAGCGGGAGGGGGGCAGGCACGTCCTTCACGCGGATCTCTCTTGCCTCACAAGGGGCCACGCCCTTCGCGCGGATCCTGCGCCGCAGGGTGACCGTGGATAGGTTGAATACAAGATTGAGTGCTTTTGGCGCGCCCTTCACGCGGATTCTGCCTCGCAGGGACCGCGCCCTTCACGCGGATGCTGCCCGGCAGGGTGGTTGCTCACAGGTCGAATGCAATGTATACTGCTTGTCGGCACGCCTTGCGCGCGGATCCTACCCAACAGGGGGCTCCACCGAACGCCCGAGTTTCGCTTGAAAACACGTTGGGCAGGCAAATGACTCAGTGACGTTGGATGGGGCATCGGTTGCTCGTTCGGTAATTCGACATGTTAGGAAGATCTTTATGTTCGACGGTTCGTTGATATTGAGGTAATGATTAGGTAAAGAACAGTGACCTAAATCATCGCGTAACATCTCATTAACAAGTTGCCACAGCAACTGCCGGATCCGATTAATTGGTCAGCTTCGGCAGAATTTGCTGACTCCCGCAAAATTAAGCTATAGTTAGATTTTTGCCCCACGTGTGCGGAACAAGGGGGGGTTTCTGAAAATTTCATTTGGGAGTCTCCAGGGACCAGTTTTTCCGAGGATGTCCCACGCGAGGGTGCAGGTTTGGAAATCGTCGCCAAGTTCGCCGGATTTCCCGGATCTCGTCTGAAATGGAACAGGGGGGCCTTTGTTTTCAGGATGTCCCACGCGAAGGCGCCGGTTTGGAATTCGTCGCCGGATTTGCCGGTTGTCCCGATTTCGCCTGAAACGGAACAGGGGGGCTTCTGAGAGCTCGATCGTTGGGGAGAGTCTGGGAACCGTTTTTTGGTCGAGGATGTCCCACGCGATGGTGCCGTTTTGGAATTCATCGCTGGATTCGCGGGATTTTCCGGATCTCGCCTGGAACAAAACAGGGGGGCCTCTGAGAGCTTCGTTTGGAAGGCTCCTGGGGTCGGTTTTTTGAGGGTGTCTCACGCGATGGCGCCAGTTTGGAATTCGTCGCCGGATTTCCTGGATCTGGCCTGACTGAAGCGGAGCAGGGGGTTGTCAGGGCCATTGTTTCGCGCGCCGGGAGTCAGGATGACGTGAGTGCCGCAGAAACCCCACACTTGTTGTTTATGTTATTGTTTGCTCCTATCGCTATCACCACGAATAAAGCATGCTCTCAAAGGGGAGGCAGGGCGACGTCGTCGGCGTCGTGCAGCTCATCAACAAGACGAGCGGCGGCGTGCTCGCCTCCCACGACGCTCCCGCCGCGTTGCCGGGCTCGGCCTGCGACGGCCACCCCGCTGCCGGGCTCCGCCCGTTCACGGTGGACGGCTCAGAACACGAAAGCACAACAGCAAGCAACAAGAGCACCACAAAACAAAACGAGCAAAACAGAAAAAAGGCGGAGGATTCGCAGTTCCTGCAGTTGTTTGCCTCGCAGGCAGCCGCCGCGGTGGCCAGCCACGAGCTGGGCCAGCCCTTGCACCCGACGAGGGAGCCCGAGGCATCGCCGACGATGCCAGCGCGGACGCCGACGCGGGGGACGACTCCGTGGGCCTTGCTGCGCAGGGCCACTTCGTGGGCGACGAAGGTCCCGAGGCACCGAAGTGGGGAGGTGCCGCCGCCGGTGGTGCAGGTGCCGGCGCCCGAGACGGCGCCAGTGCCGACGCAGCTGCCACACAAGCAGCGCAATGGTGCTTCGGCCGGGCTGAAGGAGGCCACGGCGCTGCTCGAGGAGTCGCTGGACGGCTGGGACCTGGACGTGGTGAGGCTGGCGGCGCTGACCGACAACCGGCCGCTGAGCTCGCTGGGCTGCTTCTTGTTTGAGCGGCTCGGGCTGGTTGCCCGGTTCGGCCTCGACAGTGAGAAGCTCAGAGATTTCTTCCTGGAGCTCGAGCGCGGCTACGACGACGCGGTGCAGTATCACAACCGCCGCCACGCGGCCTCTGTGCTGCACATCACCCACGCGTTGCTGCGCAGTGGGGCCCTCGCGCAGAAGGCAGCGGCCCAGCTCGAAATGGGCGATGGGGCGCTGGTGACGATGGCCTGCTTGCTCGCAGCCGCCGCCCACGACTTCGAGCATCTTGGGCGCACGAACGACTTCCTGGTCAAGACAAGCCACGACCGGGCGCTGCGCCACAACGACAGGCACGTGAACGAGAATCACCACGCCGCCGCGTCATTCGCGCTGCTCCAGCGCCCGGGACTGAATTTCCTCGAAGGGCTCCCGCGGGAGGAGTTCCGCCAATTCCGGGGCATTTTCGTGGAGCTGATCCTTGCCACTGACATGGCGTCCAACAAGAGCATCCTGGAGTCGTTCGGCGCCGCTCTGGGCAAGTCCGTTGGAGCCTCAGCCTGGTCTTTTGGGTCTGTCCCACGGGCGGTCCCCAAGGACGGCGACTTTGTGCCCAGCTCGGCCGCGGAGGCGCGCTTGCTGCTGCAGATGGCGATAAAATGTGCGGACTTGGGCCACCTCACCCTGAGCCGCGCCCAGCACCTGCACTTTGTGCATGGCCTGGAGGCGGAACTGTTCGCACAGGGCGACCAGGAAAAGGCTCTGGGCTTGGATGTGTCCTTCCTGATGGATCGAGAGAAGCCAGGCGTCATCTCCTCCCAGGTCGGCTTCATCGAGTCTGTCGCCCTGCCCGTGTTCCAGAGCCTCGTCGGGGCCTGCCAGCAGCTCCAGCCGATGCTTCGAGGCGCCGAGGACAACTTCAGGTACTGGAAGGGCCTGCAGAGCCAGGGTGATCCAGGCCTCCACAAGATGGGTTCAGATTAGATCCGGTCGGAGGATCGCGCCGCATCGCCGATGCATCGGCGATTCGGCTCGATGTGGAGCCCGAGTTTCTCCACGCCGACGTCGCCGGTGCATCGCTGATGCATCGGTGATGCATGGACGATGCGGCGCGATTTTCCGACCACAATCAAGGGAGTGAAACCACCCCGACCTTCATAATTGGCGTTGACGTAAAAGAACGGCCTTGGCATTTACCAAGCAGCCCTGTCCTGTTCGATTCCTTCCTTTGGTGCATTCGCTGAACGGCTTCGCTCGTCGGGGTGCTTCTCATGAGGGTGTTTTTTTCCCCCGCTCTCTAAGCAACTATAGTCAACGCGCATAGTAAGGACGCGCGCCTTTTCTAGGGTACCCTTGTGTCCTTGAATATGCGGCCCATCCTTTGACGTTTCCACTGGGGTGTTAGTCGCCCGCCGCCCATCAACATCCCAACTTCGGTGTCCAAGGGTCTTGCGTCCTTACCACCCGTCCTTCCTACACGTTTTTTTCACTCTTTCTGACCTCAGCTGGAAGGCCTTTAGGTGCGCAGGGCGGCTCCAGGAGCGAGCCCCGGGACGCACCGAGCGACGATGGCCTGGGCGACGGCAGCCTCAGCTGAGGGCGCCGCGGAAAAGGATCCAGGGAGCCACACGTCGCCGCAGGCTCGAGGCTCGGCGGGCGCCGTTTTTTATGTTTTTTTTTTTCCCTTGTCCCCGCATGCGCCCACGGCGAGTCACCGCCGCCCCCCCCAAACGGCGTAGACATGGACTTTCGGAGCTCCGCGCGGCTTTCCTGGATCTGCGCTGTGACCCCCCTGGCGGCGCCTGGACGCCGCTCCTGGCGCGCTCCGCGCGCCAGGGAGGGGGGCCCCGGCGCGGAGGCAAGAAGTCTGCGCGGACTGTTGGCTTATGCAGCTACGTCTTGTTTGACAGGAGGGGGGGTCGAGGGATCGAGGGCTCCGAGGATCTCGACGATCTCGGTGATCGAGGATCTCGAGGATCTCGAGGGTCTCGAGGAAATCCGCGGGGACCCCCAACAGTTCATGTTTATGCAGGTGTTTGTTCGCCCATATGGGAGACGCCCGTGTCGCGAAGGGTCGACCGGAAATTCGGTCACGCCAGTGGACTGCGTGTTCCTCGTCTCTGGCATTTGGGGGCTTGCTTTGGGGTTTCCTGGTGTCCTTGTGGGGCAATTTTTTCGCTGGGCAAACTCAAGCGTCTAGTCTGGAGCGTGTGGTTAGTGCAAGAAAGCGACTGTGGTCCAGTGGTGAACAATTTGATGTGAATTAGGTGGCAGGCCCGTGCGGTACAGAGAAGGCATAATGTATAGGAATTGTGGGTTACTACTCTTCCTTCACGCCCCCCCATGGACGCTGCGCTTTGCAGGAGAATTTTTGAAAGCACAGATAACCCAGTAAGTGTCAAAGTTGTGGTAAGGAAGCCTGGCCAAACACACAGCTTGACTTTCATATATGTTTGAAGGTGTTGGTGAAGAAACCTTTTGAAACCACAGATGCTCCACACAAGTTTAAAAAAAGGTTTCGGTTGGGAGACATGGTGGAACACACATATCAAAGATGCCTCTGACGAGTCACGGCCCCCCTCCCTGCCTTTTTGGAAGTGCCTATGTGGCCGAACCGTGTGCCCAGAGCTTGGCCAAGCTATCGGACTAGGTGTTTCCCCTGGCCGTTGTGGAAACCTTTCGGAGGACACGTCGGGGAGAAAGAAACAGAGGAGGAGAGGGATGAAAAAGGAGGAGGAGGCTTTTTAGAAGCCTACTGAGGCACTCTTGGGGACTCCTGTGAGCTTCCTGGGGGGCTCGGAGGCGGCGGAACTCGCACGCGCGAAACTCGCACGCACGGGACTCGCACGCGTGTAGCTACTCACACACGCGGAGCTCGCACGAGGCGGAACTCGCACGCAATCAACTCACACGGAGCGGGACTCGCACAGACGGAACTCGCACGCGGTGGAACTTGTCCGGACGGAGCTCGCGCGCGCGCAATTCGCACTGACGGAACTCGCCCGCGTGAATGGTGGAGCAGTCTGAATCTTCTCTGCGTGGAAGTTCCGCTTCTGTGAGTTCCGTCCGTCCGTGCGAATTCCGTTCGTGCGAGTTTTTTCCGTGCTAGTTTCGTCCGTACAAGTTCCGCGCGTGCGAGTTCTGTCTGTGTGATCTCCGTCCGTGCGAGGTCAGTCGGTGCGAGTTCCGTTTTGCGTGAGTTCCGTCCAGTCGAGTTTCGCTCGCGCGAATTCCATTTCCTGCCGCTCAATATGGGCGGGATGGACCGACGAAGACCGGGCGAGGGAGGGAAGTGGCAAGTGTATGGATAGCGTAGTGCTCATAGGCTGAACGGTGTTCGCAGGCACTGCGACTGCGATGCTTAGTGGCACCTTTCCATGCGGGGCGTCGTGGCGGCCGTCTATACTTTTTTGGTCGCGGGCAGACGCGTGAAGCAGTCGCCGAGAGGGGGTCCGGGGCACGGGCCAGCCTAATTAGCTACTGAGCGACGCGCAAGCCGGCCGGGCCAGCACTCAGAAGGCGGCTGAGGGGCAGCTGCTGGAGGAACTGGCTGGGTGGTCTGCAACGCCCAGGGAAGCTGATGCAGCTTGCAGGCCTGAGGCAGAAGTGCCAAAGATGGAATTAGGACCTGCACGCCGGAAACGCCTGATCGGCACCGTGCATACGACCACGCATCACACTGGCGAGGGCGCTGCCACTGCCGGAAAACCAGAAAGCGGTGCGCCACCAGGAACGGAGAGCTGGAAGCAACGCGTTCGAGCCCAGGCACCGTGGCCAGGAGTGACCAGGTACAGACTGACCATGTCGCCGCAGGGCGCCAAAGGCCAGGGCCGCGGCAGCGGCTCGGAACATGCCGAGTAGGAGGGGACGGGGCGCCGGGGGAGCACGGTGTCTGCTGGAAGGCTGCACCACTCCGCGACACATCTCGTATACCCTGAGAACGACGCCAGTCCCGAGCAGCGAGGCGAGCATGGACCAGGCCCCGGGGGGCGACTGCACCAGGGAGCCCGGCCAGGGGTAACGTCGTAGACGCCGCACGGAGGACCGCGTATTGCGCGGGAGGGCGGGCCGGACTGGCGGGAAATGGCATCGCCAGGTCGGCGGGAGAGGGGCGACCACCAAGGGACTCCAGCGCCAGGGGGCGGCTAACCACACAACGATGCGAGGCCGCAGGGTCATGTGGCAACTGGCCGCCCTGCCCTTGTGGGACCCTCGCTTGGCGTGGGCGGGTGGGTACTGACATCACCTGCCGGCCAGGTTGAGGGGGGCCCCCAGGGGACGCCCGGTGCCAGGGGACGGCCAGTGGCCATACGAGCTTGAAAGCGTTAGCCAGCGAGAACGCGTGGCCGAGGGCAGTCCCGTCCTTGTGTGTATGGTGACGAATGGCAGAGGGCCATCCCGTCCGTAGAAGAGAAGAAGAGGAGAGAGGCAGAGAGCCAGGGAGCGGCTGACGGCCGCACAGGTTAGCATGTAAATTCCACGTCCAGTGGAACGGTATGTGAACGCTCATTGCCCGCAGCGGGTAGACTGGTCAGCGAACAGATTCGTCAGTCTTATCACCAAGACGTGTCTGGGCTGTGCTGCACCTCGGGCAACTCTGTCTGCTGCCGTCCTGCGGGTCCCCGCGATGGTGGTCTGCCAGCAGCACTGGAACTGTCTCTGATGGCGCTGGCCTCAGGAGGTGCCCCTTCCCGTCGCAGTGTTGTGGCCACAGCTGGCCCCACCAGCACCATTCCTGGCTGAAGTGTGCCCACCGAAGCCGGGGGCACTGACGTGCACGGAATGGAAGTGGACCATCGATTGCCTGGGAGCCGTCCGGACGGCACGTCTCGCAGGCTGGCCAGCCAGCTAGTGGCCCTTGATTGCTCTCGCCCATGTCACCAGGGGTGCAGCTGACGGCTGCCAGAAGTTTTTACAAGAGCCAAGGAGCAGCGGACGGCTGCCACGGGAGGGTACGGGGACGTTCCTTGCTCGCCGACGGTGATCGTCGGATAGGTGGCTGATCCCGCAGGGGGCCAGGGAGCGGCAGTCAGCCGCCAGGGTAGCGTAAACCCTGTCCCAGGTGTAAGTCTGGGGGGCGACCGATGCTCCCAGCGGGTGGCCGCGTCCAGGACCCGGGCGCCTCTGGGCCCAACTTGTCCCGATGGCCTTGGTCGTTCGCCTGATCGGCCGTCTATACGCGACGCGTGCAAAACGTGGCATGGTCTTCTGGCAGTCCGAATATGCACTGGCGTGCTCGAAGCTCTCCCAGTACTCACAGGCATGTTGCTGATGCCCGCGAGTGTATTCTGAGCGCATGATACGGCACCCACCTCCACTACTCGATGCACACAGCATCATGCGTATGTGAGTTGCCGTGGGAAGGGCTCTAGACCAGCCCTTTAAGGTCCGCCCGCCTGACCCGCCCGCCCGCCCGATCCGCCCCACCCGCCCGTTAGAGTCCGCCCGCCCGACCCGCCTGTTAGGTTCGTCGTCGCCGCTGTCGCCCTCGTTGTCGTCGTCGTTGTCGTCGTCGCCGTCGTCGTCGTTGTCGTTGTCGTACTTGTCTTCGCCGCCGTCGTCGTTGTCGTCGTCGCCCTCTTGGATGCCCTGCTGCTGCTAGATAAATTGCACACTACTTGAACGTCCGGCCCGACCCGCCTGCCCATGAGATTCCGCCCGGCCAGCCCGCACGTTAGGGTCCGCCCACCCGACCCGCCCGTTATGGTCGTGATTGCCGTCGTGTCTCTCATCGTCGTCGACGTCGTCGTCGCCGTCGTCGTCGTCTTTGTCATCGTCGTCTTCGGCGTCGTCGTTCTCGTAGTCGTCGTCATCGTCTTTGTTATCGTCGCTGTTGTGGATGTCCTGCTGCACGAGGCGCGCACCAATTTAGTATCCCGCTAGGCACGACCTTCCGCCTGTTAGGGCCCGCCCGGTCGACCCGCCCGTTAGGGTCCGCCCGGCTGACCCGCCTGCCCGACGCCCGTCAGGGTCCGCCCGCCCGACCCACCCGTTAGGGTCGTCGTCGCCGCCGTCGCTGTGGTCGAATATTCATGTCTGAAGAATAGCTATTGCTGATCTTTGGAAACAGTTCCGGGCGGTCTTGCCTCAACGCCGTCAGCATTTTTCTTTGGGAATGACGTTCCCGCTCGAGCGCGGGCTTACGTCCAAATCTGGGACTTTGAAGGACGTCAACGGCTCCCGCTCGATTTTCTTGCTCATTCACCCCGAAGTGCCCTGGCCAGATAGGCCTCCAAACTCAGGAAGAGCCCGTTTCTTTATTGCTTTGGGCATGACGGGCGTCATGGCCCCCGCCCCCCCCGCCCCCGGCACCCTATGACGTAACGCTCCCCCCCAGTGCGCTCTGGGCACTGCTGCCGTGAGTTTTGGGATCCGCGCAGGTGTCCGCTTAGGATTCCACAGGTGTTTGGTCCGCAGTCGTCGTCGTCGTCGTCGTCGTCGTCGTCGTCGTCGTCGTCGTCGCTCTTGGCTTGTCGCTCGTCGCTCATAGCCGTCCTGCGCGCGGACGCGGCTGAAGCCTGTTCTTTTTTATTCCGGGCCTTTGACGGCAATCATTTAGAGGGGGTGGAGGGGGTCGATGTCGTCACGTTTCGCGCCGGCGGCGTCTGGGAATGCCCAGGAATGACGGAGGATGAGTAACGCCAGCATGTAGGTGGCGATTTACATCACAACGCCTGTGTACACCACAGTCCCTGCGTGCACCACACCGCCAGTGTACACCGCGCCGCCTATGTACACCACAGCGGCCGCGTGCAACACATCGTCAGTTTGTGCCACCGTGCCCGCGGGCACAACTGTTCCCGTGCACACCACAGCTCTTGCGTACACCACATCAGTCGTGTGCAACACAGCACCAGTGTATAGCACAATGCCTGCGTGCATTGCAGTGCCTGTGTGCACCACGGCGCGTGTGTGCACCACAGCAACCGTGCGCAACACAGCACCACTCTTGCATATATAATGTCACAACGCATCCTAATGACAAAATGGAACGCTTGTGGTAACCGCAGAAAACAATCGAGAATAATCCTTCTGGACAACGGAGCGCCGCCGGAATTTACGGGGTCTCCCGAGTCCGCCTGCGTCACCCTAATTCCTCCCATCTGCCCCCAGGAGGCTCCAGCTACAATTCTGCTGTGCGCGCTGAGATGCGCACGTGAGCTGTAGCGCCCACCCGCACGACAGGGGGGTAGGAGGAGGAGGAGAAGAATGAGGAGGAGGAGAAGGAGGAGGAGGAAAAAGAGGAGGAGGAGGTGTTGGAGGTGGAGGAGGAGGGAGAATGGAAAAACGTCGCATTCGATTATCAGCACATTCTTTGCGTAGCGTCTAGTTGTCCGAAGCAGATCCTCACGTACATGCTCCTTCTACCTGTCTTTTGCACGCAACCATTGTGGTGTACACCAGCGCTGCGTTGCACGCGGATGCTGTGGTGTAGACGCGCGTTGTGGCGTGCACAGGCGCTGCGGTGCACGCGCGCACTGTGGTGTACACAAGCGTTGTGTTGCACATGGTAGCTGCGGTGTACACATGTACACCGGCTATTTAATGTACGCAAGCAATATGGTGTACACAGGCGATGCGTTGCACACGGTTGTTGCGGTGTACGCAGACGCTGTGGTATACACGCGCGCTGTGGTGCATGCGAGCGTTGTGGCGTACACAGGCGCAGTGGGGCAGATCGCCACCTACATGCTGCTCGCGTCGTCGTCTTTGTCGTCTTTGTCGTCGTCGTCGTCGTCGCTCGTCGCTCGTCGCGTCGCGCGCGCGGGCGCGGCTTCGGTGCCCGAGCCACACGGGCGGGGGGGGGGCGCTACGTCATACCCCCCCTCGCCCCCCCCAGGACGCCCGTCATCGCCGAACATAAAAAAAACTCGCTCGAACGACCTCGTTGACAATTTCCTCGCAGTTTAGTGTCACTGGTAACGGCCCAGCTAACACGACAACGGTTCCCGCTCGATATTTCCTCACAATTTACCCGGAGACGCCCTGGCCAGAGAGGCCCCGAAACTCAGGAAGGCGCTCTCGCCCGAAAACTCTTCGCAATTCAGTCAAGTTCGCAACGGCCCACCTGCGACGACAGCAGCTCCCGCTTGATACCACACATTTTTTCCGGGACGCCCTGGCCAGAGAGGCCCCGAAACTCAGGAACGGCGCTATTGCCCGACTTTCCACACAATTCAATCAAATTGCTGAGTTGCCCGCGGGCTTGTTAGTTCACATTAATTACGGTCATGGCGGTACAGTGCGCATAAGTGTGCACTTCTGAATGCTTCTCTCAGAAGTTGGTATGAAAAGAAGCCCCCCAAAGGTGGCTGGTTCATAGACTTAGCGGGCGGGGACAAGGGACAGAGAGAGATAAATGGATGTCAAAACTGTTTTGCGGATCTCATGTTCGCAAGATGGGTGTCGCCGTTGTCGCTCTCGTCCTCGTCGTTGTCGTCGTCGTCGTCTCGATCTCGTCGTCGTCGTCCTCCTCCTCGTCGTCGTCCTCGTCGTCGTCCTCGTCGCCCTCGTCGCCATCGGTGTTGTCGCCCTCGTCGTCGTCATCGTTGTCGCCGTCGTCCTCGCCGTCGTCGGCGTCGCTCTTGTTGATGTTCGCTGGGTGGATCGCGCACACCAGGAATGGCCCGCCCCACCAGCCCGTTATGGATCCGCCCGCCCGACCCGCCCGCCAGAGTCTGCCCGCAGGAACCGCCTGTTAGAGTCCGCCTGCTCTACCCGCCTGTTAGGTTCGTCGTGGCCGTTGTCGCCCTCATCGTCGCCGTCTTCGTCGGCGTCGCCCTCGTCGTTGCCCTCGACGACGTTATGGGTACTCGTCGCTGCCGTCGTCGCCCTCGTCAGAGTCGTATCCCTCGTGCGTGTTATGCTGGATACTTTGCACGCTACCCGAATGTCCTGGTCGACCCGACCCGCCCGCCCGTTAGGGTCCGCCCGCCCGACCCGCCCGTCAGGGCCCGTCCGGCCGACCCGCTCGGTAGTGTCCCGCCCGCTTGACACGCCCGCTCGACCCGCCCTATCCACCTGTTAGGGTCCGCCCGCACGACCCGCCCATTAGGGTCGTCGTCGCATTCGTCGCCCTCATAATCGTCCTCGTCGTCGTCATCGTCATCGTCATCGTCATCGTCATCGTCGTCGTCCTCATCCTCTCCTTCTTCTCCTCCTTCTCCTCCTCTTCGGCGTTGGCGTGGGCGTCATCGTCGTCACCCTCGTCTCCGTCGTCGTCATCGTCATCGGCGTCGTCCTCGTCGTCGACGTCTTCGTCTCGTCGGCGTAGTCCTCGTGGATGTCCGGCTGGATGGACTGCAACTTACTTCAATGTTCCGCCCGCCCCGACTCACCCGCCCTGTCCGCCCTGTCCGCCGTCCTGGCCTGTCCGTTAGGATTCGGACGCCCAGCCCACCCGTTAGGGTCGTCGTCGTCGTCGTCGTCGTCGTCAATTTCATCGTCTTTGTCGTGTTGGCCCTCTCGTCGTTGTGTTCGTCGTCGTCGTCGCCTTTGTCGCCCTGGTCGTCGTCGGCTTCGTCCCCGTTGCTGTCGTCGCGCTCGTCGTCGTCGCCATCGTCGACGTCGTCGCCGTCTTCGTCGTAGTCGCCCTCGTGGATGTCGTGCTGGACGAATTGCACAGTACTCTAAATCGGCGGCGAGCCCGGGTGGGGAGCGAGAAGGGGCGGGCCTCCTCAGTAAGCTCGGAAGTCCCCCGGTCTTTGGGAAGTTTTCAAGGCCTTCCCCGAAGACATAGAACATTTCGAAGAAGTCGCGAGTGTTTCTGGGAAGTCCCGCCGCCTTCTGAGGCCTCCTCCTTCTCACTTCCCCCTCTCTCTCGTCGCCGGCTAGTGTCCCGCCCGACCCGACCCGTCCGCCCGTGGGGGGCCCGCCGGCCCGATCCGCCCGTTTGCGCCCGCCTGCCCGTCCTGCCACGACCCGCTGGTGAGGATCCCGCCCGGCCCGGCCGCCCCACAGGGTCCGCCTGTCTCGCCTCTCGCCCCGCCCACTCGACCCGCCCGTCAGGGTTGTCGTTGCAGTCGTCGCCCTCGTCGTCGTCGTCGTCGTCGCAGTCGCCCTCCTCGTGGCCGTCGTCGTCCTCGGCGTCAACGTCATCGTCGTCGTCGCCCTCTCCCTCGTCGTCCTCGTCGTCGTCGTCCTCGTGATCGTCCGCGTCGTCTTCGTCGCCCCCGTCCTCGTCGCCCTCGTCGCCGTACATAGGCGTCGCCCTCGCGCCGTGGGCGTCGTCAGCGCCCTCGTGGATGTCTTCCTCCATGTATTGCACACTACGTTGATATCTCGGCCCGACCCGCCCGCCCGTTCGAGTCCGTCCGCCCGACCCGCCCCTGAAAGCCCGCCCACGCGACCCGCCCGACCCGCCCGTCAGGGTCCTGCCCGACCCGCAGGTGACCCACCAACTCGACGCGCCGGTTAGGATCATCCCACCCGTCGCAAGCGTCGCCCTCGTGGTCGTTGCCAACCAGCCAAATGTTAGAAGCCAAACTGGATAATCGAACTGCAATTCAAGTCAAAGATAATTGAAATGTCCTCTGCTCAGTTTGCTTTCCAAAGTGACGAATGGAGTTAGATTGTATGCGTATCGCCCGCCTGTGTTGCCCTGTGACGAGTAATGTAGGACAGGTTATGTTTCTGCGCCCCTCGGCGTTGCCATGCGACGAGAAGACTAGCATTGTCGCGCCCCTGGGTGGCCAAGTGGAATAAGTTTATGTTTGTTTCCTGCGCTCCTGTGTGGTCATGTGACGATTCGAGCGGGATACACTGTTCCTTTGTTCCCTACCTAGGCTCTGCCTAGAAAGGTTCTCACTCTCTTGGCTTAAAGGGCCGGGCAGTGAGAACCGGCCCGGGCGGTTCCCCCAGTATCCGCCCCGCGGTTCCCCCAGTTACGTCCCCTTAGCTTAGCGTTGCTTATCTCATCTTAACTTAGCTTATTCCATCTTAGCTTAGCTTATCTTCATGTTAGCTCAGGTTTATCTTAGCTTAGCTTACCTTCATCTTAGCTTCGCTGAGCTTTAGCATAGCAGAGCACAGCATAGCATGGGTGTAATTCCCTACCTAGGCTCTGCCTAGAGGGTTAGCTTAGCTTAGCTTAGCTTAGCATAACGCTGCGATGCATTAGCATAGCATAGCAATGCATAACATAGCCAACCAGAGCATAGCATAGCATAGCATAGCATAGCATAGCTGAGCGTAGCACAGCGCAGCATGACATAGCATAGCTTAGCATAGCGTAGCATAGCATAGCATAGCATAGTATAGCGCAGCATAACATAGCATAGCATAGCATAGCGCAGCATAGCATGGCATAGCATAGCATAACATAGCATAGCAACTCATGCTGCTTTCCTAGGGGCTCCAACTTCTAGGTAGGGTCGCACCGGGGTAATTTCTTGTCATTCTTAAGTGTGAGTCTCTGGGAGATCCAGGGGGGCACAACATATTCGAGTTGGCGTGCCGGTTCGAGCCTCACAGGCGGTCGTACCAGCGTCGCAGTGGGCGATGGTTATTGCAAGGTGCACGCACGTAGGTGGGGTTTCCCGATTTGGATGTTGGTCGTCTGGACACTTCTCTGTTGTGTTGAGTTCATTACCGCGGTAGTGCCAGCCATCACTCAAGAGGTGGGTGCGGGAGGATTTACTTCGAATATTCGAACAAATTGTTTGTGTAGTGCCGCGCGGACATTGCTTGCACTTGAGCGACGCTGAAAAACGGCTCGACTGCACGACATTCGCGCGTAAGTTGTCCGCGTAAGAAGGTGCGTCACCTCCCTCGTCTCCACCGTAGCGTGCCGCGCTGGCGGCCCATGTAAGCCACCGCGTAAGGTCGCTGTGCCATCTCGCGGAAGACCCATTTCTTTTCGTCCCTCAATTGCAATTGCCACAATTTGTTGACAGTGAGCGCGTGTCGCGCGAGCATATCTTTCCTGCCGCTGCTCAGTCATGCCCGTGCACTTCCTCTCAAGTTGGCGAGGGCGAACGTGTGCTGTGGAGTCCCCTTCCCATTGGTTGGGAAGCTAAGCTGGGTTCACAGTGAGCACGCACACTCTCAGCCACCAGATGAGCAGGCCCTCGCACTGGAAGCTGTAATCTTCTTCCTGCAGCTTTGAGGCTGGCACTTTCCATGCTCATAGCTTCCAGACGAGCACTTCGGCACAACACTGACGATACCAGCAAGCTTTTTCGCTGCCTGCCAGGCGTCCGCTTACAGACCCGGAACGCTGCGCAGGCTGTCATGGGGTGCCGTGCAGGTTGTCACGTTCCTACTGGCGCCGCATAGCGAGCAATGCTGAGCACAAGGCTCGGTCTTTTCCATCCTACGAGTTTTCTTCTCGATGCCCTCCCTCACCTCAGTTCACTGCGTTCTGGTTCGTTGTCCACTCTGGGCCAGCCCTCCCTCGCCACAGCAATCGCCATCTCCCACGACAGCCCGGGCACGACAAAGAGAGCTGGCTCTCAGAGCGGACCGCACCCCCCCCGACTGATAAAGGTGGGGCGGATATGCCTGCAGCAGTAGGGGGAGTTTGAGGCGCAGCCCGACGCTACCAGGCAGTCCACCGCCTTGTCGCTTCAGGGACGCGTGTCCTATAACAGCTGGGGCGCACGACAAGAATCACCTTTTGTTTTGTCAGGGTCCCCTGGGTTGCTGCTTGCGTTCTGCGTGGGGAGTCGCCGCCCTCTCTGGGTTTCTTGGGCGTCGGTGCATGTCGTGGCGCGCGCCCGAACCTCTAAGAAACTTCCAGGCATCCAGGGCGAGGTTGATCAGTAGGTCGACCCCGCCGTATCAAGGTTACCCTTGTGCCCTGACCACTCTAATCAACACCGACTGTACCGTCCACATGCGCCCCCCCCACCCACTTCGGCACACCCCTCCCACGTTTCGAGGCCCCATTGGGAGCTCCACCGAAGACCCCAGCGTCACCGTCCACATGCGTCCCCCCCAGCCCACTTCGGCACCCCCTCCCACGTTTCGTGGCCTCATAGGCAGCTCCACCGAGGGCCCCAGTGCCACCGTCCAGATGCGTCCCCCCCACCCACTTCGGCACACCCCTCCCGAGTTTCGTGGCCCCATCGGGAGCTCCACCGAAGGCCCCAGTGCCACCGTCCACATGCGTCCCCCCCAACCACTTCGGCACACCACTTCACAGGCCCCTTACACGTGTCCTCGACCCTGAGGGAGCTCCACCGAAGGCCCCAGTGCCACCGTCCACATGCGTCCCCCCCACCCTTTTCGTTACAACCCTCACGCGCTTCGTGGCCCCATAGGAAGCTCCACCGAAGGCCCCAGTGCCACCGTCCACATGCGTCCCCCACATCCATTTCAGCACACCCCTCACACGCTTCGTGGCGCCATAGGGAGCTCCTCCGAAAGGCCCCAGTGCCACCGTCCACATGCGTCCCCCCCCCCTTCGGCACACCCCTCACACGCTTCGTGGCGCCGCAGGAAGCTCCACCGAATGCCGCAGTGC